AGATTTTATGTGATTTTATTTATTATTAAAATTGTCATATTCATTTATTGTGCTTTCAACAAACAAAATTGAAAAGCACTGTAATTCCACTGCTGCAGAAGTGCATTCTGTCTTTCTTGCTACAGATATTTTGAAATGTGGTGGTGGTGATGGTGTGATCTTGTGACTTGCAACCTGCTCTACAGACCTTGAGTCAGGTACCGTAATTCCTAACCTGATCATGCCAGAATAGTAAAGTTGACAGAAAGGAGGGATATTTAAAGAGCAGGTTTTCTTATATGCTTTGCATGGATTCCAGCTCATTTTGGAGTATCATTTTTTGATACTGTATAACATGATTTGACGTTCCTCCAGAGAATGCCTATACTATAATCTGTGCCAGTATGTTCACTTTCCAATAGTGTATCCTAATGGAATCACAGAAGCTATTGTGTATCAATTCTACACTGCTTAGAACTGTAAAATTCTCACATATTGGAATGGGAGATTAATTTGGACATGTGATGCAGTTGCTATCAAGAAACCAACAGTGAGTTCATTGGCTTGATTGAGAGGAGGCCCACCTATTAAGCTGCATTTACACCAAACAAGTTGAGATGAGACTCATCTTGAATCACCATTTTACTTTAGTGTATTTTTCAGAAATTATTCACATCTGGAAAGTTGTGTTTTACTTACATAAAGGGCTGTGGCCATTTTTTTATCAATCACTGTGAGTCATGGTTTTCATTCCAAGGGATTAGTCTGCTAATCTAGAAATCAAAAACTATCAATATTACTGACAAAGCTGTTTTGTAGTTTGAGATAGATATGGAATTTTCATTATATTCATTCTCTCTTTTAATAAGCCAAGATGTATGGCATTCATTGTTAATCTGTATTTCTAACCTTACTATTTATAGGTCATGCATAGAACCCATTCTCTTGCTCTACTGCAGAAAGTCCAATAGAACTTGTATTATTTTCTGTGAAATCAAAAGAAAGCCTTCTGCCTTTTAAAGCAGATAATCCAAAATGAAGTAGTGATACATATCTGATGTAAACACTTTTTATGTGTGTTTCTTGCTCTATGTGATTCTAGTGATTGTAAGCACTAAAATTGTGATATAAATTTGGTGGAAGGAAATTGTTGATACATTAAACAGATGATGATTTGAATCACTGTGAACCCATTGGATCCAGGTGACAGCAAAATTGGTTGAGATTTATTTTTTGCCAAGTGGGTGGTACTGGGGACACCTTGTCATGAGTGTGTAAAGCACATAGAGGGAGATTGACTTGGTGGGTCTTTAAGAATAGGCTTGTTCGTGAGCTTCTGTAAGATTTCCACTGCTAAAGTGGATTTACCATCCAAGAACCATGCCCAGGAGAGAGCCATGCAGCATGTGTTTTGGAAAACTGAAGAAAGTGGAAAGATGAAAGAAATAATTTACTTTTTGTAACATAGTGTAAGCTACTTGGAGAGAAACTATGGAATCTATTCAGTGAAAAGAGTATTACCCTCTAGATACAACATAACAGATGACAATTATAAAACTAGGAAAAGGGCAAAGTAGCAAAATGCATCAGCAGAAAAAGGGCTAATAGCATTCCAAAGAAGAGGCAAGGTGTCTGTGTGTGCATGCATGTGCGCACACATGCGTAATTTAAAATCACAAGCTTGGGAGAGTTGCCACTTAGGTAAGTCCAATGCCTAGAGTTTGGTCCACTCACAAGACTGGATCCAATGGGTTAACCTATTACAAAATTACTGAGATCCATCACTTTCATACCTCTCCATAGCCTGCACCTGAGATAAAAGATATGTCTTTTAAATTGATGTATCCATACTGCTGGAAATCAACTTGAATTTTGTTTATCTCAAGATGATATATTGAAATGGATAAAAAAAAATTCAGACAGCACTAGTGACTGAACTCGCTGCATTTGGTGTAATTGCAGCCTTATTCTCAGTTTGATTGTATTGTAAATCCAGACTGCATAAACATCCTCTCTGTACTGCATCATACTTCCTAGAGTGGGATTATTTTAAGAAGTCATCATTTTGTATGGGTATCTTAACCCATTCGCCCCATGTGGCAAGAATACATGCCATGCTCACTGCAATCAATACATGTTTATTTAATGTATTTACACATAGATGGCTCTACAAGTTCTTAATCACCAAATAGCCAGTTTATCAGAACTATCTATCTCACATGTTTCCCCTTTTCCTTCACTTTAGGAAAGGGTTTTTTGCATCATTTCATTGTCTAAACTATTTTAATAACAATTTGATAATCATAACATAAAATTGATAGCAATGGTATTAATAAGAAAAAAAAATTTCCCACCAATTCAAGGAATGGGAAAATTAGGATCAGTAGTTAGGGGCTACTGATAGACTCCTTGCCGGCTGAGCACTTGTGAAGCCATCTGTATGTAACAAAATTCACGAAAAACAACAGGGGACAGAAAATAAATCCAGGGCGAATGGGTTAATCTTATATCTGGATTATGC